GATTTGAACACATATCACAAGTACTTTCAGAATTACTTCCTAAGTCTTGCTTATAAAACTTTCTAATTATTGGTGTACATACCACATGTACATTATTAATTACTTGTCAAGTTTTGCTTATGAAACTTTTTATTTATTTAGTGTATCAAATTGATTTCCATAAACAAATTAATTTAGGTTTTTATAATATAGATTTGAACACATATCGCAAGTACTTTCTCAATTAGTTGCTAAGTTTTATTCATGAAATTTTCTAACTACTTAATTTATAAAATATATTTCCAACAACAAATTAATTTAGATTTACATAATATAGATTGGAATACATACCACAAATACTTTATCAAGTACTTGCCAATTATTGCTTATGAAACTTTCTACTTAATTCATTTATAAAAAAAATCCAACAACAAATTTATTTAAGTTTATATAATATATACCACATGTACTTCCTAAGTCTAGCTTATAAAACTTTCTAATTATTTAATTTATATAATTTATTTCCAATAACAAATTAATTTAAATTTATATACTACAGATTTGAACACATACCACAAATACTTTATCAAGTACTTGCCAAGTATTGCTTATGAAACTTACTAATTATTTAATTTATTTCGAAGAAATGAAATTAATCGATTTTTTAGAATTTAGGTATTTTGAAATTTCATATTTTCTTTTCTCGATTACTTATATATTTATTTAACTTATTTTAAAGTTATTATTAAAAAAAAAGAACTGAAATTTCATAGACATTGTAATTACTTATTTGTTCTATTATTAATTTCAGGTCTCATTCTTCTCGACGAGTCCCGAACTGAGCAATAAACAAAGATTCGAGTATTTCACAAGGACGATCCCTTCGGACCATTACCAAGTCAAGGCGATGGTGGATATTGTCATACGTATGAGTTGGAGCTACGTATCGATAATCTACGAGGAATCCAACTACGGGATTAAGGTGAGTGTCTTGGAACTACTCCAGAAAACACCGACCGCTCCACCGATTTATCACAGCTATCCGCTGAAAACATAACTTCCTGAATTTATTGCGACTTTGGCAATTTACTACCAATATATAAATATATATATATTGGGTTTACAGGCTGCGCATCTAAAATATTGCATTATTATTTCTCGTTCGAACAAGTCAAGAATTACAAGTCGATACAAGGTTAACTTTTTTTTTCTTTGTTCTGTTTATATTTTTTGTTTTGTGAGCTGAATTACAATTCAATTTAGTTAATACAACTGAATTGTATACATTATTTGAATATAAATTAATCAAAAGATTTATATTTCTTCTGGTAAATATAGACATTGTTGATTTTTTTTTTAAATTTTTATTGCTTAAACAATAATTATAGGTTTATAATTAATAAGTTGTTAAAATCATCACATTTTAACAACAAAATATTTTGATAAAATATTAAAAAAATATTATTTTGACGTAATATACTTTTTTTTAATGAGGATTTAGAAAATTATTTTAATAATAGGAAATTATATAATATAAACCAAATGTTAATGAGAAATTATTTTTTTCTAAGACTTTTCTCATAAAATTCTTATATAATTTATTTAGTTATCATATTATTTCATTTTTTTCTAACTGTAATACAATTGGTTCTATTTATATTTGAACGTATTTTTCTTCCACTCAGATTTAGAAATAAATTGAAAGTACACAGTTTTTGTCGAATATTTTTTTTGGCCAAATGTATTCAATATGTTTCGGGTTTGTCTGAGCAATCTTCTAAATTACATGCAAATATTTTCATAACAAATAACTTTTTTTTTTCTTTTTCCACGAAGCTTTTTCATTATTATATTTTTTACTATGTAATATATTTCTTATCGATCAGATTTATTTGTTTTCTTATAGAAAAAATATTTATCTATATTTACAAATAATAATAGGGTTATTTTTCAATACAAATGTTATTACTTTAATGTAAAAATTGATTAATTTTATTATATAGTTCAGTTTATAACTTGGATCATAACCACTAACTAACTATTACTTAGATTACATGTTGTTGGTACACCTGTGAGAAATATTCATAAACTTTATCAAGTACAAAAAAAATCACATAGCTTACGTACTATGCACTTAATCAAATATTTAACACATTTAACCAAAATTTTGCTACATTTACTTAACATTCTTTAATTTTCCTATTATAAACTAATTTTAATCGCCTTTGCAACATACAACTTTTATTTTTAATACACGCAATAAAATAATTACATTTAATCGCGAAATCTGTGTTAGGTAACAAATTTCTTATTATTTTATATAACTAAATAATTGAATTTAATCCCATAATCTACATTACGTCATTATTTTATAATTCTGCTTCCAAACTAAGCGTAACAGTTAAATATTTGCCAGTAGTACCAACTACTAATCTTCTGTAATTCATAATGGTAGTTATTAATCAAGTTATTATAAAATATTTCATCATTCAAGTAGTCATTTAATAATATGACATACTAATCTGTCAACTGTCAAATAAATGTATGTCACTAAATGTTTTGTTCGAATATCCAAGTGTGCTTTTGACATGCACAGTGTGAATGCATCATTATATAAACTGAGTTTTCGAAATTTGTAAATACGGAATTATTCATAACATCCGGAAGGTCAATCGTATCCGGCCCTTTAAGTCCAGGAAGTCAGTAGGTATAACTTTCCTATACGTATTTGTACATTCAAGCGACGCCAGGTAACGTAATGCGATTTCCGGAGGACAACCTATGCAAAACAAGCTTCCCAGTAGCCCCCCGAGGACATTCATTCTTCATCGCTTCTCCTTCTGCCATTTTATCGAGCTCTCAAAACAGAACTCCTGCACCCAATGTTTCGCAATGTAATTCCTCTCCTCGGCTTTCCTGCAAGAAAGCTCAATAAAGAAACCACTTTTCTCAGAGAGGGATTTGCAGTATTTTTCTATCGATTCCACCACTCAGATATTCCGTCTGTGTCTGTATATGACTTTGTTCATTTTAAAACCGCACACCACCAGATGAATCTTAACTTCCCATATCGCCTAAAAACTTACACGCCTTCGCGGCAACTACTAAAGTACCATTAGCTTTATACATACATGTACAATTTTTAACTTCTGTACGAGGAGAAGCTTTCAAAGTGAGATTCTTTTCTATATTATTTTTTTTTGTTCAACATCAAGTTTCTTGCTAAAACTGATATTAATTATTTACAGGAGTTTTCTTTCAGTGATTTTTTTCTTTATTGAAACTTTGTCCCCCTTGCACTTATTACATAATAACTGTATTTTAGTATGCGTCCAAGGTATTACTCGTCACCTGTCAATTATTTGACAAATTACACATGTCATTTATATGTCGTAAATTTGCCTACCTTCATCCCAATTTGATAATATTTGTAATTAAAAATATGACTAAGCTATAATTACATAGCAATTTGTATTCACAAATATACTTGCCAAATAATTAACAAGTGACGAGTACTTTTACAAGTTACGTAAAATAGCCTTTCAAATAAACAGGAAAACAGAAGTATATGACAAATATTTATGTGCTAACTTCACGCTCTTAAAGTGCCATATATTGATTTCTTTATAACTTTTTCAATCTTTCATCATTATTAGTACGATTCTTCTTAAAGTTTTAGTAATTATATTAAAAACTCATATTTATTTGAAATTTAATCTAAATATCGAAATATTTTATGCATTAAATATTATACTAAACCAAATTATTGCTTGACTGTCAGTAACGAAATAATAGTATTTTTTAATTACACGATATCAGCGCCATATTTTGGTTTCCTTAATAAACTTTTCAATATTTTCTCTTATTTAACTACATTAATCCAGATTCAATTTTCTTACAAATATTCTTTATTACAAAACTTCCTATATTATTGATTTTACTGTTGTCCATTCTTCTTCCTTTCTTTTTTTTTGGAATTTTATCAATGTTTTCTAAAGTAAATGAGAAAATAAAGTCCGTCCGTCCCTTAAATTCGTAGGCGTCTCGAATCGCACTTTTATCTTTCGCGAGGAGTTTGATTGTTATGAAGTTCGGGCTCCGGCTTTTATTAGCTTTGTAAGGCATCCTCTGGCCGTTACATCCGAGGCTTCTCATAATTCGAAACTTTTATTCGACTCTACGAGTAAGGTCTTTATTTTATATTGTTGCATGCCTTCTCGTGCCATTCCGACACTGTACGTCATTCGATTTATATTTAAAGCGAATCTTACTCTTAACGTTCCCAATTCAATTTGCAAGATACAGAAACCACGGCAAAAATATTTTGTTTTTACACAATTGAATTTTCTAAATCAATATTAATAATTATGTTTTATAACTTTTATCCATTCCATTAAAAAAGAATTGTACAATAAAATAAATTAAAATTTTTAAAATTATTTATTAAGAATTAAATTTTAATAAATATACAATAAAGTTTAGATTTCATTCCAATTTTCATAAGAATACTCATTCTTGATAGTCTGTTTTTTAATATATAAAGATTTTGCTTTATTTATTGCGACAGTCGTAGAATTATGATTATGCAAAGACAGATATTTGAATTTATGTAACAGAAGGAAATGGTTGCAATGTAACATCATGCAACGGAAGGTGTGGCGCGTTCTAAAAGCGCAGCGCAGTAATTAAATTGCGTAACGGTTTATTTTTATATGTGCGAACTTGTCGTATAAAATCATTGGTAATTAAAATGAAAATTGTATATCTTCCTGTCTTCTTCCTAAAATAGATTCAATTTATGTATATTTCTAATATAAAACATAAGGACTAATTTATTAATGTATTACATTTTTAGTTTTTTTCATTATATTGAGTTGGGATATTTATTTCAATAACATTTTAAGAAAAAAAAAATAGTTTACAACAATTTTGGCCAAAATATTCAAAATTAATGTTCTAATATTTTTTATCAATAATGATGATAATATGTAGATGTGGTTAAGACATCACGTTTAGCACGATATAAATAGGAATAGGAATATGGGTACGCAGAATTAGAACTTTTTAACTTTCCTGGGTAAGCTGCATCATCTGCTTTGGTAATTGATGGCACAATGTGCTGAGTGGTGTAAGCTATTTGTGGAGGATGTTCTATAAGAACTTTAGTCTGGGCAAGGGGAGATTTTAATATTGGATCAATCACTGGTTTTACGTAATTTTCGTTATGAACAAGGGCTTCAATTGGTTTTCCTGCTTGTTCGTAACTTGAAACTATTGGAGAAGCGTAGTTGGAGTGTCTAACCAAAGGCTTGTTGTAATCAGCGTTGTGGATATGAGTTTCAATGTTGTGGTCCAAATGTTGGGTTTTAGTTAGTTGTACTTCGGGCGTTTCAGCTGGTGCATTATTAGTACCAATAACTGGCGCATATTGGTCGTAAGTTGAAACTACTGGAGTTGCTTGAGATTCTACTAACAATGATTTGATATCATTATTAGGAGCATGAGTTTCGTGATTTAAATTGTGGACTTTAGGTCTTTGAACTGATACACCGGTAGCTTCGATATTTGGAATATGATGTGGGTAAATTGAAGCACCTTGATCCACTGGAGATAATTGAGATTGCACTGTAGGAGATACATATGAAGAAACTACAGTTTTCTCTTCTTCGCTCTTATGAGCTTTGGTTTCAGCTGTAGCTTGATGTACAATTGGAGATTCTACAGGAACACCATTAGATTTTATTACTGGAAGTTGATGATGCTGTAATACTGATCCTCCAAGTCTATTAAGTGAATCTTGTGGATATTGAGAATGCACTACATACGATGGGACTACATGTTTATTAGAATCTATCTGTTCAGGTATATTTTCACCTTTAGAATGTTGCACATTTAAAGTTTCTACTGGAAGTCCATTGAATCTTTGATGATATTGAAAAACTGGTCTTCCAACTCCATAATATGAATCTTGAGGGTATTGAG